ACGCCATTCCCAGCTTTGGAGGTACAGATTGGAGTGAGAACAGCCTGAAGCTTGAGTGTATTCTTTTCCTTTGGGGTACTGAGAATCTAATGGGCACAGATAACTCATGAGCTGCCAAGGCGTGAGAGAGAGAGGAGCAGCCCAAGAGCTATTTCCCAGATGATCCCCGAGGTTCTTAACATCCCCTGCCGGGTTGGCTTGTTTTTTGTCAACTTGACAGGAGCTAGTCAGTCATCAGTGAAGGGAGTCTCAACTGAGAAAGTGTCTCCTTAAGATGGACTGGAGGCAAGCCTGGAGGCATTTTCTTCATTAGTGATTAATGTGAGGCCCAGCCCGTTGTGGGTGGTGCCACCCTTAGGCTGGTGGTCCTGAGTTCTCAGGCTAAGCAAGTCATGCGGAATGGCCTCTACATCAGCTCCTGCCTCTAGGATCCTGCCCTGTTTGAGTTCCTGACTTTCTTTGATGATAAACTGTGATGTGAAAGGAGAAGCCAAATAAACCCTTCCCTCCCCAAGTTGCTTTCGTCATGGCGTTTCATCACAGCATGTAACCCTGACTAAGACACCTGCCTTCCCCGTCCCTCCAGCTATCCCACTACTAACGCTGAGACTGGACACCATATCTCCAGGCTTGGATTGGCCTGCGGCTCCCAGCAACCTCTTCTCTGTCACCCCAATTTATCCCTGGCCCTTGTCTCTGAACTCTGACCAGAACTTAGGCTAAGAACGTATTCTCCTTCCTGAGGAAGAGACTGACAGCTACAACAGACCTGTCTTCCTGCTCCTCATCCTGCTTTTAAGAAAAAAAGTCTGGGTTTTCTCGGTAGCCCAGGTTGGACTCAAACTTGAGGCGATTTTCCCACATTGGGCTGCTAAGTGCTGGGATGACGGTTATGGCCACCATGCCTGGCCATAGTTCTCATTCAGCTAGGATTAAGCTCAGCATCCTAAGGCAGTAAAAAATCTGTGTGATCAAACACAGAAGAAAGACTTTAAGCTGGCTTAGAAGAAGGCTGGGTGGAGGTCCATGGAGGGAAGTGACTTGCCGTGGTCCCGGAGTCGCTTTGTAGATCTGCAGGTTCAAGCCTGGCTCCCTAGACCCCACTTTTGTGGTCCTTTTTCTGTAACCAGCCACTGATGACTTAGGCCTCGTGGTTCACAGCTGCAGCACAATCGCCTGTAGTTAGACACAGAGTAGAACTGCTGGACAATCACCTATGGAATGCATTTCCCTGGAAGGCTTTGGGAAGAGACATCTTTCAGGACTCACGGTTTTAGGTGCAGACTGACGCACAGAGCACCGGGGGCCTGATTCTCTACTCCTTCTTTCCTTGGACACAGACAAGCTAGTGCTCCCAGGCCAGCACATCTTCCTGGCAGTTCAAGGCTCTTAATTTGGACTTGGCCACGGGGAAAGGTCATCGTGGGGGCCAGCCTGGCTTCGGCCAAGCTCTCTAGTTACAGCCCCGGTGGCAGGCAGCCGGTTCGCCTCACCTGCCCCTGCCACGCAGCTTCCTCACATGGCCACTCCAGCCTCAGCTGACAGGGCAGGCCTCTGCTATGCCCTCTGGCCTAGATGTAGAGCAAAGAGGAGACAGTTTTTTCTCCTTCAGCCTTCCTCTCGCTCAGCTGATGCCTTCCTCCCTCCCTCCCTCCCTCCCTC